CCCTCTTGGGGCAGGGAGGGCTGCGTGGACGATCGGCGCGGCAGTAAAGTGTGATGTTTGCTTGTTTCCTTGGGATTGTAGGGAGTTTCTATCTCTTTGTTCGGTTTTTTGTTTTAGTTTTCTTGGGGAGCCCCCCTTCGGCTCCCCGGAGCTATCCAGGCTGAATGGATATGTATAACTTTCTGGCATCAGTCAAAGTGCTAGGAGTTCTTGCCTACTGGGGACCACGAGCCAGAACCTGGCCCCCTCAGAGATGCACGAGGAGCAATAGCCTATAGAAACCCTCTTGTGGTTGGGAGCATTCTGTGTCTGCCATCGACCGAGATAGGCACCCAAAAAGGTAGGCGCCCCAAAAACAAACCCCTATTCTGGTGAAAATATTGCTACCGAAAGCCGAACAAGTGGACAGAACTCCCCAAACAAAATTATCAAACTTGCACGACGTCATCACGTCGCCGCGCCACCGTCTGCGCAACTCCCCCCCTCCCCGGGAGGGGGAAGGGGGAACCCCAGACCCTCCACGTCGGCGATCCAACTGGCAGTTCTTGGCTGATGGAATTACTGGCTGGTCGAGTGCCTCTGGCTCCGGTTTTTGTTTCAGTTCTGTGCCTTGTGGTGTGGACTGTCTCTACCAGTGGGGTGTGAGCCAGGAGTAAGATTCCACGGTACTTGGGCTGCATGCGCCTAGGGCTGTCTTCCCTAGGTGCCCTGTAAGTACTGCCCTTGGGGCTTGGGGCCACCTTCCACAAGTCACCTTGAGTTCTACCTCCTTTACTGCTCGGTACTGGGCCGCCCTTGGAGTCGGCTGGGGTTTTGTTGGCCTGGTTTGTCTCTGGGTAGGTGGTAGTTTTCGTCACTGGTAGGGGCGCGGGGTACCCCACAGCTAGTTTTCACCTATAACAGCGGCCGGTTCTGTTCTGCCTGGGTACGTTGTCCTCTTGCGGGGTTTTTCTTCTGTTTTTGTTTTTGCCTGGTGGGGGTGGGGGGTCTGCTTTTATGATCCCCCATTACTGTTCTAGGTGTTTTCTTTCGATTCTTCTGTTGGTGGTACTCCCTGCTTGGCCCCCGTGAGTGGACACGTCCCGGGGGTTCAGCTTTTAGAAGTTTGTTTGGTAGACTTGGGCGCCGGTTCGCGGTACCCTGCTTGGGCTTCCCTTAGCGTGTACCAAAGGCTAAGGGCCCTGGGAAACCCCATGGGGGCTCCGTGGTACTATAGGTGTGTCCCCAGAGTTCCCCTTCGCGTCCTGCGAGTTTGACTGTTGATCTGTCCCCTTGTCTCAGGGTGACACTCACCGGTTGTGCCTCTGCCATGCTGCCTGTTTGGTCATTGTTTTTTTGACCCGGAGTCGTGCGACGGGTTTTGTCGGTACGTGCTCCATTTCACCCAGGCCACTGGTCACCTTGAGGTTACCTTGAGGTGCTTCCGGGGCTTAGTGTCCCCGCGGCCCGGTCGTCGACCAGGCCTCCTGGTTGCTGGACTGATCAACCAGGCTGTTAGACGTGGCTGCTCGCAGCCTGACGTACGAGTCACAGCCTGGTTGATCAGGTATCCTTTGGAGGTGCTTATCCAGTTCTCTCTTGAACACTGTGAGGGGTTTGCCAGTTATGCCCCTTATGTGTAGTGGAAGTGTGTTGAACAGTCTCGGGCCTCTGATGTTGATAGAGTTCTCTCTCAGAGTACCTGTTGCACCTCATGTCATGATAATCGGGTGCAGGCAGCTGCGGCGGTGCTTGCTGGGTGCAGGTTGCAGCAACGCTCTTGATTGTTTGTGGCCCCGGATGCCCCGAGGCTGCCCCGTTCTGGTTGTTGGGGCCCGGACTTGGGGGTGGGGGTCGCTTCGGCTCTGGCTCCTGCCCCTCCTTGTCCTTCCCCTTCTGTTCTACACACTTCCTCCCTTGCTTCCTGCTCCGAACCATAGGCGGGTTTCGGGGTTGGGGCGGGGACTGGTTGGGTTGAGACTCGGGCGGTCTCGAGGGTTTTCCTCTTCCCGGGTGGCGGCGGAGGCATTCGAGTCGGTTCTTCCAGCCGTGCTGTATGGGTCTGACCAGTGGGCTCTCTTCCTTAGTGTTTGCATGGCTGCCCCGGCTTTTACTTGTCTAGCTGGGGCTTTGGGGGTGCGGCTCTGCCCCGTTTCATGCCGTTGAGGTTCCCGGGGTTGGGGAGGGGTTGCCTCAGGGGGGCCTCGGCCCCGTTTGCCCCACTTGGGTCTTTGTACCCTTTGTGAGGGGCTGGCAGTTCCTCAGAGTGGGGTTGTTCCTTCCCTCTTTGTGTTCCTGTTGTTTTGGGTGTACCCCTCCCTGGGTTTGGTTCCGTGTTCCTTCAGGGTTCGTCGATCCCGTCGTTCCTGGGGGTGTGTTCCACCCCCTTTTCCTTCCTCTTTTCGCTCTTCCGTCGTCGATTGCGTCGATGGCTCCTAACAGGGGTGTTTGGTGTGGTGTGTTGTTTTGGTCAACTTCCGAGTGTCTTCAGTGACTCCTTTGTCCCTGTCTTTAGTTGTGTTTTGGTACCGAGTTCCTGCGATTTTCTGGGTGACTTCCTGCAGGCTTAAGTGTTGCGCTGTCTGTGTGGGGTTGTGGACTTTCGGTCTGCCGCTCTTGCCTGCCTGGTTCCTTTACTTGGACCCGGTCGCTGGGTTTCAGTCCTGGCTCCGGTTTTTCTTTGTTCCTTTTCCGGACCAGGTGTATTTGCTTTCCTGCGGTTCACGTACTGGGTAGTTCTCCTCTTGGATGCCTCAGGGATGCGTGTGTCATTCTTCCCTGCTGCAGCTGGTTATGTTGCTCCTTTGGGTTGCTGCGGGGTCGCTGTTTTTCGATTCGCGTTTTGCGCTTTCATGCATAGTGCTCGTTTCTCGTCGTTTGTGTCGGCACTGGTAGGTTCGTTGTTGGTCTCCCACCTGCATGTTTTGTCTCAAACAAAGATCCGAACTCAAACGAGGACCGATCCATTGGGGAGGCATAACCCGGATCTCGCAAGAGGTATGCAGCAAGAGCTTCCCGAGCCACCTTCACGGAGATGCGGGAAGTAGCAAACCCCTGGAAAGACGGATCAAAGGTACCCGAAGGAGCCCGGAATCGAACCCAGGGAGGAGCCGAACCCAAATCATACTCATACAGGGAAGGGGGGTAAGAAAACCCCTCCCCCTGCAACAATAAGCCCCGCGAGGAAGGCAAAAGCACCCAAGCGAGGTCATAGGGGGCCCAAGGCCCCCAGGTCGACTCCTCCCCAGCCCCAGGATCCCCCACGTTAGGACCCGGGGCAGAGCCGTCCTCCAAACCCTCTACCCCTGAAGAAAAGGCAGAGTCCAAGGGAAAGGCAGGCAAGAAGGGGGTCTGCTGGCGAGACCCAGAAGCCTCGGCAGAAGGAACCGGCTCAAATGCCTCCAACCCCGACCCGGATGGGGCAGCCCGCGAAGCAGCCAGAGTCTCATTATCAACTAAACCCTGTGCCGAGGCCGAAACCCTCAGACGTTTTGGAGCCGGACACAGGGGGGCAGGTGCAGGAAGAACCACAGTGGAAGGACTAAGGGGCGCAGCTGGAGCCAAAGCCATAGCGACCAATGCCCCCAGGTCAGGGTCTCTAAAGCCAAAATGGGGGAGCCTCGGGGCATCCGGGTGGGAAACCAACCTAGCGCGTTGCAATAACCTAAACCTAACATGCAACGCTGATGCTGCCTGTACCCTAATAGGAACATCCTCAGAGTAAAACTGGAGCACAAGCAGAGAACATGACTCGCAAGACTCCGGATCAAAGGTGTCATTGACCCAACAGGCAGCATAACGGAGGCAAAACAGGTGACTGTCACCCTGAGACAAGGGCACACTGCAACCTTCAAACCCGCACAAGGCAGGCTGGAACTCGGGAGACGCATCCATAGGTCCCCGAGCCCCGACAGGGGTTTCCAGGGCCCGTAGGTTAGCAACAACGGGAAGCCCGGGCAAGGTGTTGCTTACCGGTTGAGAAACCCAACAACAAGGGTAGATGATAACACTGAAAATCCCCTGGGACGTGTACAAGCACGGGGGCCTAGCAGAGGGCCACCAAAACAATATCAGGGGGACTATAGACCCACGAGGCAGAACCTCCACCAGGCAAACAAAACCGAAACAAAAGAAAACCCCCGCAAAAGTACACCGTCTCCAGAGGCAACAGGAACCGGCCGCCGCTTAGGTGGCAGGCTGTGCAATACCTTCACGCCCTAACCAGCACAACAACCACTCCCTACCCAAGGCCAAACAAGGGCCCCAGGCCCCAGCTGGCCCCAAGGGCGAGGCAAATGCCGAGCAGCAAGAACCCCTACGGGAGCGGTTCCCGAACGCCCCAGAGAAGATAACCCTGACACGCAAGGGCAGTACTCACAGGGCGTCTAGGGAAGGAAACCCCTAGGTACATGCAGCCCCGGCACTGATGAGGCACTCCTGGCAACCACACAATACACAAAGACAGCAGAGAACGCCACACGAGGCAAACACCGCTCTGGAATTTGAGGCCAGAGAAGTGTCTATCCCGGTTGACACTAGCTTGCGAACTGAAGGCAGCCTGCGCAGACGACCGGCGCGGCAGTAAATTGATTGATTGATTGTTTTTTGGGATTGTAGGGAGTTTTCTACCTCTCTGTTCGGTTTTCGTTTTTTGTTGTAGTTTTTACCATGTGGGGTTTGTTTTGTTATGCCTACCTTTCTGGGTGCCTGACCCCGGTCGATGGCAGATAAGGAAAACTCCCAACCATATGGGGTTTTCTAGGGCCATTGCTCCCTGAAACCTCTCTGAAGGGGCCAGGTTCTGGCGCTGGTCCCTGGTAGGTCTGAACTCCTTAGCTAATGTCCCGGTCTAATATAACATACATTAGCCCGATAAGCTCCAGGGAGCCTCCAGGGCTCACCCAGAAAATGGCGTTTCATTACATTCAACGCTGGTTTTTCAGTATTGTGTTTTATCTAATGCTGGGCAGTGTGCAACCTTAGTTACAGTACAAAATATTAATTATGGATTTTTTTTGCAGGATACAGAGGATGAAGCGAGTTGTGCATCTGTAGTGGAAGAAGTGAAGAGATTATCAGCATCTCAAGAATCTCGACGAGGCCAAGTGAGAAGAGTTAGTGTAGAGTTAAGAGCAGCTCAGCAACGACTCAAGCAACTCAATGCCACCATCAGATTGAAGGTAAGAACCTATTTTGGGTCTTATTTAGGAGCTGGTTAATAACTACCATTTATGTCAGCACTGTGGAGAAATGCCCGACAGACCACTGGAACATTATCTAATAAAGTGCAGAGTTACAAACCCATTAAGATTTCAACTTAGATTCAACAGAGCAGAAGAAGTTGTTAAATACGTGGGACAAAATCTTACCCTAGCAACCATACGAGTCATAAATACTCATACTCCGCCCAAGTAAAACAGAAACAAGCAACAATTGGTGGGCCAGCCAGAGGCTTAGGACTCACGCAGGAATATCCCTGCAAAAAAAAAAAAAAAAAAAATTATTCTCGTGTAAAAGTCAAAATTTTTAGACAGTTTGTCTAGGTGGAGCCCCTTGTGGCTTTATGAAACCACCTCACTGAGATGGTCCCCAACTACTAGATTGCATCAGCCATGGAGTTCAGTTCGGCCTACCTGGGACCAGATCCAAAACCTGGTCCTCCTCCTCCCTTACAAGAGGTGCAGGAAGCAGCTGACACTTCGGCATCTCACCAGGGAAGGCATCCAGAAAGTCAACAAATCAATACAAACCACTGTTGGGTTTATGAGATTGAAGACTCACAGCCTGCCAATTGATTTCCCTCAACAATGTAAACAAAAGACTGACTCTCTTGAAACAAGCATGCTGTAATTTGCCCCACCCCTTCCACTTGTTTTGTGAGCTTTTGCCAGGTTAAATTTGCTTCCAAAGAATACCTGATCAACCAGGCTGTGATTTATATGTCAGGCTGCAAGCAGCCATGTCCATCAGCCTGGTTGACCAGGTTACAAACCAGGAGGCCTGGTCAGAAACCAGGCCTCGGGGCCTTTTATCCCCGGAATCTCCACAAGGACGCCACAAGCTAGGTAGCCTGTAGTCTACAGTTATAGACGTAATGTTTGGCATTACCACACAGTACCACACTCCTCTTGCAGTGGTACTTAGTGTTTCCAGGCTACGTCGTACCTGTGTTGCCTTGAGTCGTGTCTCTCAACCTGGAGTCTCTCCTTTGCTATATCTTCCCACAGTTTCTCCTCCCTGTTAAGTCCCTGTTTTTCTTTTTCATAGGTAGTTAGCTTCACGGAGCCATAATGGGCTACCCCAAGAAAACCAGCATTGTATATAACAGACTACTTCTTTATGTGTGAGCACCTGTGGCTCCTTAATTCACTTAATTAATAATAGGGAGCCGGTCGGCCGAGCGGACAGCACGCTGGACTTGTGATCCTGTGGTCCCGGGTTCGATCCCGGGCGCTGGCGAGAAACAATGGGCAGAGTTTCTTTCACCCTATGCCCCTGTTACCTAGCAGTAAAATAGGTACCTGGGTGTTAGTCAGCTGTCACGGGCTGCTTCCTGGGGGTGGAGGCCTGGTCGAAGACCGGGCCGCGGGGACACTAAAGCCCCGAAATCATCTCAAGATAACCTCAAGATAACCCCTCCCATTCAAGTCGAAAGAGATTCAATCATTTGTTTACATTGCTACGGGAGTTTGTTTTGTGGTTTTGGGGCTTCAGTCTCTTTGAATATAACAGTGGTCTGTATTTGTTGTTGACTTTGTGGATGCTCTCTGGTTGACCCCTCACAGTGTTTAAGAGAGAACTTGACAAACACCTCCAAAAAATACCTGATCAACCAGGCTGTGACTCATATGTCAGGCTGCGAGCAGCTGCGTCCAACAGCCTAAATGACCAGTCGTCCAACCAGGCCTAAACGAGGAGGCCTGGTTGACGACCAGGCTGTGGGGATGCTAAGTCCCAAAATCATCTCAAGGTAAGGTTGGTAATGTACTTTAAACCAGGGATGTAGAACCACTCTGTATTTATAAACACTTCGAATACGAGAATGACCATACGGGACTGGTACCATGTTTTTGCATTTCAAATGCGTCTGCCACATATTCGTGGTATATACCACATATACATATACACGTGAAAAGAAAATTACAAGACGCCGAGCAGAGAGCACCACGCCGGCCAGGCGAAGAAGGCACAAAACTGCATCAAAAGGCCCACCTCGACAACAAAACCTCAAAGTCCCAGCACGACCACAACACATGCCAAGACCCAAAAAGATCAGTCTGCAAGCTAGGAAGACCCCGGAACTCCAGAAGGCAGAACCGGGTCACACACGAGGAAACAAAGCCTCATGAACCCACAAAGGGAGGCCCAAGAGGAAGAAACCTCCAGAACGAAACCAAAGAACCCAAAGGAACCCGGAATCGAACCAGGGGAAGCCCAAACCACCACATTTGCTGGCGGAGATACACCACAGAAAGGCAAAGAACAGCCCCTAGAGAGAACCCCCAGGGAAACTGAGGGACAAGGTGTGGGAGCAAGCATAACAGCCAGGGACACTGAGCTCAAATCCAAGGGCCCAGACCCAAAACAGGCAAAATGGAAAACCCGGTGTAAAATCAACACTGAAACGTTCCCAGAGGAACAGGAAACAGGCAGAAAACACCAGAAAAGCAAACAGATGACAACAGGAGAATAAAACCCCTGAGAAAGGGTGAAAACTCACACAAGACGCTCGTTCACACACCTAGGCGCATGTAAACAAACCGCAACGCCGCCCTGGATGGCATAACAAAACAAACGGCGTGGCCTGGTGGCCATGCCGGGGAAACCAGCAGAAGAAAATGGCCATTAGAACAAAGGGCTGTGACCGACGCAAAAGATACGAAAACACGCCAGCAAAAGTGGGAAGCAAGCAGAATGGATGGGCGAAAAACTCCGCCCAAAAGCGGAAAACCCAGACAGGAGCAAACTGCCCCAGACCTGCTAGCAGGCATCCCCCACAGCCCCGGGAACCAGCAACAGAGGCCCCAGGCTAGAGCCGTCCTCCAAGCCCTCCGCCCTTAAAAAAAGGGAAGAGTCCATGGGAAAGGCAGCAAGAAAGGGCCGCTGGTAAGACCCAGAAGCCTTGGCAGGAGGAACAGGCCCAAAAACCTCCGTCCCCAAGCCGAACGGGGCAGCCCCCGAAAACCGCCAGAGTCTCGGCCCCAACTAAACCCAGCCCCGACCCTGAAACCCGCAGATGGTCCGGAGCCAGGAACAGGGAGGGAAAGCGGCGAACAGCACCTAACCAAAACGGGGCTGCCTCGGGGCATCCGAGTGGGAAACCAACCTAACACGTTGCAGCAACCTAACCTAGCTTGCAACACGGATGCTGCCTGTACTCTGAACAGTAATAACATCAGGAGAGTACTAGAGAACAAGCAGAGAATCTCTCGCAAGACTCTGGGTCAAGGTGTCAGTGACCCAACAGGCAACATGACGGAGATAAAAGTGGCGACTGTCACCCCGGAGACAAGGGCACAGCAACCAACGATCCCGTACAAGATGGGTTGGAACCCGGAAGACACATTCAATGGGCCACCGAGCCCAGACAGGGGTTTCCAGGGCCCGTAGGCTGACTGCTACGGGAAGCCCGGGCAAGGTGTTGCTAACCGGTTAAGAAACCCAAAAATAACAAGATGGTAGAGGATAGTACTGAAAACCCCTGTGACGTGTACAATCATGGGGGCTTAGCAGAGGGCCACCAAACACTACCAGTGGAACTATAGCCACACTAGGCAGACCCCCACCAGGCAAATGAAAATAAAAACAAAAGAAAACCCCTGCAAAAGTACACCGTCTCCAGAGGCATCAGGAACCGGTCGCCGCGTCCCACCTTGACGCCCTAACCAGCACAATACCACTCCCTACCCAGGGCCAAACAAGGGCCCCAAGCTCCAGCTGGCCCCAAGGGCAAGGCAAATGCTGAGCAGCAAGAACCTCTACGGGAATGGTTCCCGAACGCCCCAGGGAAGATAACCCTGTCACGCAGGGGCAGTACTCACAGGGCGCTTAGGGAAGGAAACCCCTAAGCGCATGCAGCCCCGGCACTGATGAGGTACTCCTGGCCACCGCACAACACAACACACGGCAGAGAACGCCACACAAGGCAAACACCGCCTAGGAAACTGAGGCCAGAGAAGCGTCTATCCCGGTTGACATTAGCTTACGAACTGAAGCTAGGCAGCCAGCGCGGTAGGTCCGGGGCTCCCCCATCCCCCTCTCGGGGTGGGGAGGGCTGCGAGGACGATTGGCGCAGCAGTAAAGTGTGATGTTTGCTTGTTTCCTTGGGAGTGTAGGGAGTTTCTACCTCTTTGTTCAGTTTTTTGTTTTAGTTTTTTTCCATGTGGGGTTTGTTTTGTTATACCTACCTTTCTGGGTGCCTAACCCCGGTCGATGGCAGATAAGGAAAACCCCAACCACAAGGTGGTTTTCCAGAGCCATTGCTCCCTGAAACCTCTCTGAAAGGGTCAGGTTCTGGTGCTGGTCCATGGTAGGTCTGAACTCCTTAGCTAATGTCCCAGTCTAATATAACATACATTAGCCCGATAAGTTTCAGGGAGCCTCCGGGGCTCACCCAGAAAATGGCGTTTCATTACATTCAACGCTGGTTTTTTAACAAGGATAAATTAATTAGCCTTTGTAGTTTTATATTTCTTGTCATATACCAAGTAAATACTGTACTGAGAGAAACTTCACTAAATTTTTCTATTGCATTGATTTACATTGTTCTGTATAGTTAATGTATCAAGCATCTTTGCTATTAGAGTTCAGGGTTCACACACTAGAGCTAAAATATTATATTTACAATTTCTATAGGTAATATAAAGTTTACATCAGCCTTGATACTGTATTATAAATGTCTCATATTTTCAGTAATCCATATATAAATGAATATGTAAATAATCATATGAAATAAAATTCATATAATTCAAATTTCATTCAAATGGTTGAATTTGTTGAGCTTGGATTTAGTTTTTATATAAATATTGCATAAATAGTGCAATTATATGTTATTAACTCATGTTTTGTGATAGGCATTGGCTTTATGCATATTGAGATAAATAGCAAAGAAAATCCCTCTTTAACCTACAGGAGGCTTTCATCCGTGAATTAGTGCGTAGTGGTGGGGAGGCTGAAGTCACAAAAAGAAAATGTGAGTCTAAGATTGGACAGCTGGAAAAGGAAGTTCACCGAGCTCGCCAGTTATATCAAGATGCACAGAATCAGCTCAAGGTATATATTGCAATTTATATGAATTCCTGATTCTTAATATTGTATGTGTGTATACTAATATATACTTTGTATGACTTTCCGTGGGGGCTCCACAGTGGCTCCCTGTTGCGAAACACCAGAGGCCAGATTCAAAAGCATTTACACAAGCACTTATGAACCTGTACATCTTTTCTCAATCTTTGGCAGCTTTGTTTACAATTATTTAGCAGTTAATGAGCTCCGAAGCACCAGGAGGCTGTTTATAACAGTAACAACAGTTGATTGGGGAGTTTTCATGCTTGTAAACTGTTTAATAAATGTAACCAAAGCTCTCAAAGATTGAGGAAAGATGTACAGGTTCGTAAAGACTTGTGTAACTGCTTCGTGAATCTGGCACTTGGATAGCCCATCGCCTACATAACTAATCTACCAACAGGAATACAGAACTATACAAATATGTTTGCTGATAATGCTAAGCTACTAAGGGAAGATAGGAGACCTAGATGTTTGTCATGCCCTTCAAACTGACCTTAATAAAAGAAGTGCTTGGAGCACCATGTGGCAAATGGAAGTCAGTGTGAATAAATGCCATGTTATGGAATGTGGAATAGGAGAACATAGACCACACACAACCTACAAAGACTTAAAGCAAGAATATAACAAAGACGTAACAAATACTACAAAGACTTTTAAGAAATGTAGAAAAGACTTAAAGAACTCTAACAATAAATGAGATCCTTCTTTTAAGTAATCTATCTTCATGGCTTAGGTCTCTCAGCTCTGGTACTAATCTAGTAGCAAACCTCTGAACTTTCTCAAGTTTCTGTTTATGCTTTACATCGTGTGGGTTTTATGCTGGTGCTGCATATTCAAGTAATGATCTCACATAGGCAGTGTGTATAGTAACGATTTTGAGAGCCTCCTTGTTTAGATTCCTAAATGATGTTATGTTTGCACACAAACAGATTTAACACAAACAAGGAGCAATGGTTTCAAGCTCAACAAGCCACAATGTAAAAATGAAAACAGGAGATGCTTTTTCACCTACAGGGTTATAAACCTATGGAACCACCTACCCGCCCAAGCCGTAATTGCCAAAGTCTGTTAACTTTTAAAGTACAACTGGAAAATATCATCAAGGCATTTGGGGGGACCTTCGACAAGCCACTGGCTTCCTGTCCTCGTCGAGGCCACTAGTGTTTGTGGCTGTCAAGTAAACTCGGCTAAACTTGGGTAAACTTTGTGGTGACCATTTGCACTAGGGGGTTTGAGCTACTGTCTCCACTCGATCATCCGGATTATATGGGAAGGACCTTCAGCCGGATTATCACATTTTTCGGATAATGATACTTTTTCACCTACGAGTCCAAAAGTGACCATTTCCAACTATTGTTATACTACAAACAACATAATTTAAATTGCCTTGCCACATATAATTATTAAATATTCAACTAGAAACCTCAACTTACCTTGTTGGTGTTCGTCTTCTTGATTGATGCCACACATCTTGAAGTTAAGAATTCTTAACAATTTACATAACCTATACTAACACAACACTAAAATTTACACTTAAAATTACTGTACAGTTCATTAAGCAAAGTTAGTTTTGACTGCCAGCTGCTGAAGCCTCACTGGTTGAAGACATTTGGGTTGCCTGTGAGGCCTCACTTGTTGAAGGCACTTGGCTTGCCTGTGACGCCTCACTTGTTAAAGGCGCTTACTTGCGCCTCACTTGTTGAAGGCACTTGGCTTGCCTGTGGCGCCTCACTTGTTGAAGGCATTTGGCTTGCCTGTGGTGCCTCACTTGTTGAAGGCACTTGGCTTGCCTGTGGCACCTCACTTGTTGAAGGCACTTGGCTTGCCTGTGGCGCCTCACTTGTTGAAGGCATTTGGCTTGCCTGTGGCGCCTCACTTGTTGAAGGCATTTGGCTTGCCTGTGGCACCTCACTTGTTGAAGGCACTTGGCTTGCCTGTGGCGCCTCACTTGTTGAAGGCATTTGGCTTGCCTGTGGCGCCTCACTTGTTGAAGGCATTTGGCTTGCCTGTGGCACCTCACTTGTTGAAGGCATTTGACTGCCTGTGACGCCTCACTAGTTGAACAACATGTAACTTGTCTTTAATTGCTAGGACAACCTTCTTCCACTTAACACATCAAGAACGATTGATGCTGCTACCAGATATAGTCTTGGCCAAAAATTTTCAAAGTTACTATGGGATTAATACGGTACAGCCGAATTTTTATCCGGCTAAACCATCTTTTATCCGGCTCCCATGGCCATTTTAGCCGGATATTGAGAACTATATCCGTTCACGATTTTGGCCGTATAAGGACGTTTTCCGGATGTTCGAATCCCAGATAATCATGGGGTTACATTAGTTTTGAGTAAACCATTTGTTTTGAATGAATCGTTTGCAGTCATTTGGGCATTTCGGTGCTTCATGTTTAATGGACCATGTAGTTTTCTGTATTGCTTTGCCGAATTTCTGGATATTTTCACATTGTTGATGATTGTAACAATTCCCAGTTCCACTCCTTGTGCCTCTATTAGGGGGGCCAGATTGTGGCTCTGGTCCTCTGTAGACCAAACATCACTCCTATGACTGATGTGACATCAGCTGTGGGAAGCCATCTCAGCAAGATTGCTCTACCAGAAAGAGAAGTTTTTACATTCACTGCTGACGTTTTGCGAAGATTGTATGTTTTCTTTGTACTTATCCGCTCATGAGAGCTATTGTTGTTCATAATGCTCTGCAATTTGTAAAATATTAATAACTTTAGTTTTATTTTCCAACACTTTTTGGCATTTCTTTCTTGTTATTGTTCACCATGACTTGAGAATTGGAGTAATGTACTGTAATAATGATGATGAACATCAATTTTAGTTTAAGATTTAAGTATATTAAAGTTAGTTTAAATGACCCCATCTTTTAGGAGCTTCGAGAGGGAGACTCCCCAGACAAAGGTCAGTTTCGCAGCCGCGTCGATTCACTTAAAAAGCAGATAGCGCATTATCAGAAAAAGCTGGCAACCTTGGAAAAAGTGGCAGACATATCTCAACAGGGAGATACCAAGTAAGGGTTTGCTCATAGTACATTATTGATGTTGTAAGATTTTATTCATAGTACAGTAGGTAAGGTTAAGTAGTAGTAGTTTGTTCATTATACAGTAAATAAAGTAGTAGTATTTTGTTCATTGTACAGTGAATAAAGTAGTAGTATTTTGTTCATTGTACAGTGAATAAAGTAGTAGTATTTTGTTCATTGTACAGTGAATAAAGTAGTAGTATTTTGTTCATTGTACAGTGAATAAAGTAGTAGTATTTTGTTCATTGTACAGAAGTAAATTAGTAAGAATTTGTTTATATTACAATAGTAAAGTAGTAAGATTTTGTTCATAGTGCAGTAGTAAAGAAATAAGATTTTTGTCATCATACAGTAGTAGTATTTTGGTCATAGTACAGTAGGTAAAATAAAGTGGTAAGGTTTTGTTCATAGAACATTAAGAGATCATTAATATTAACCACAGAATTATATTTGTTCATTAATGTGTTTAGTACTTTACAGTCTCTCATGAAACTCTGCTTTATATATCTCTTCCGTGTGTATGTGTATGTGTAATTACCTAAGTGTAATTACAGGATGAGAGCTACGCTCGTGGTGTCCTGTCTTCCCAGCACTCTTTGTCATATAACGCTTTGAAACTACTGACAGTCTTGGCCTCCACCACCTTCTCACCTAACTTGTTCCAACCGTCTACCACTCTGTTTGCGAAAGTGAATTTTCTTATATTTTTTCGACATCTTTGTTTAGCTAGTTTAAATCTATGACCTCTTGTTCTTGAAGTTCCAGGTCTCAGGAAATCTTCCCTATCAATTTTATCAATTCCTGTTACTATTTTGTACGTAGTGATCATATCACCTCTTTTTCTTCTGTCTTCCAGTTTTGGCATATTTAATGCCTCTAACCTCTCCTGGTAGCTCTTGCCCTTCAGTTCTGGGAGCCACTTAGTAGCATGTCTTTGCACCTTTTCCAGTTTGTTGATGTGCTTCTTAAGATATGGGCACCACACAACCACTGCATATTCTAGCTTTGGCCTAACAAAAGTTGTGAACAATTTCTTCAGTATATCGCCATCCATGTATTTAAAAGCTATTCTGAAGTTAGAAAGCGTGGCATAGGCTCCTCGCACAACGTTCTTTATGTGGTCCTCGGGTGATAGTTTTCTATCTAGAACCACCCCTAGATCTCTTTCTTTATCAGAATTCTTTAAAGATTTCTCACATAATATATAGGTTGTGTGGGGTCTATGTTCTCCTATTCCACATTCCATAACATGACATTTATTAACATTAAATTCCATTTGCCAAGTGGTGCTCCATATACTTATTTTGTCCAGGTCATCTTGAAGGGCATGACAATCATCTAAGTTTCTTATCCTTCCTATTATCTTAGCATCATTAGCAAACATGTTCATATAATTCTGTATACCAACTGGTAGATCATTTATGTCAACAATAAACATCATTGGTGCAAGAACTGAACCCTGTGGTACTCCACTTGTGACATTTCTCCAGTCCGATACATTGCCTCTGATTACTGCCCTCATTTTTCTATCAGTCAGAAAATTTTTCATCCATGTTAGAAGCTTACCTGTCACCCCTCCTATATTTTCCAGTTTCCAGAACAACCTCTTATGTGGAACTCTGTCGAAAGCCTTGTTTAGGTCCAGATAGATGCAGTCGACCCAACCTTCTTTCCTGTAATATCTCTGTGGCTCGATCATAGAAACTAAGTAAATTCGATACACAGGATCTTCCAGATCGAAAACCATACTGTCTGTCTGATATTATATCATTTCTCTCCAGGTTTTAAATAATTAAAACTAAACCTATTTAGTTTTAATTATTTTTTCCAATATTTTGACTATTACACTTGTCAATGATACCGGTCTATAATTAAGGGGGTCTTCCCTGCTTCCACTTTTGTAGATTGGAACTATGTTAGCCTTTTTCCACACATCAGCTACAACTCCTGTAAACAGGGATGCCTGAAAAATCAGCTGAAGAGGAATGCTGAGCTCAGGTGCACATTCTCTCAGAACCCATGATGAAACTCCATCTGGACCAACTGCTTTGTTCTTATTTAGCTCCTTGAGCATTTTTTCCACTTTGTCTCTAGACACCTCTATGCCACCTCACCACCTCTATGTTGTTCTCTATGTTCTCTATGTTGTGGAACGTTTCGTCCAATCAAGGCCGTTGGTGTTGACAACAATATATAATGTTGATTATATAATGTTGTTGAATATGACCGAAAGGTTAAGATTAATGATTCTAACACGAATCTTCTCAATATTTCTTACGTTTTCCTTCACTGTCAGGGGTAATTGAAGAATTAACTCTCCAAAGTTCATTTTCTCATTTTTATTTATGGTCCGACGCCTAAAAGCATTTCGCAAGGGACTTCTCATATTTTCAAAGACAGGTTTTTACACGCATCATTTCATGCTTATATTAATTTTTTAGGTGAGGTGATATAACACAAATGTTTTTGGGTGAAGTGAGAAAAGACAAAACACGAAACAATGGGTATATTGCATATTTGCTGCTTCTATATTGTTATATTGCTCTTGCTGCTTCTATGTTGGTTCAGGGTCTTGATGTGGGTAGAATATAGTTATGTGTTAATTGGCTGTTGATTGCTGATATTGACTTTTTGATGTGAAGGGCCTCACTGATGTCGAATCTCCTGCTATTGCTGTATCTATTCATGATTTCTGTGTTGCTTGTCAAAATTTCTCTGGTGATGGTCTGGTTGTAAGAAGAGATTATATGTTTCTTGATAGACCCCTGTTGTTTGTGCATTGTTAATTGCCTAGAAAGAGACGTTGTTGTCTTGCCTATATACTGAGATCTTTGGGGCTGACAGTTCCCAAGTGGGCATGTGAAGGCATAGACGACTGTTGGTTTCTTTCAAGGCATTATGTTTGGTGTCTGGAGAGTTTTTCATGAGTAGATTGGCCATTTTCTTGTTTTTGTAGTAAATTGTCAATTGTATTTTCTGATTTTTTTCTGTGGGGATAACGTTCCTATTAATCATATCTTTTAATAATACTTGGAACCTTTTTGCCCATTTGTCTTCGCCTCCACCGGGGATTGAACCCGGAACCTCAGGACTTCGAATCCGAATAGCTGTCTACTCAGCTGTCAAGCGCCCTCCAGGGAGAGGGAAGGCGGTGCTGCAGTAGTGGAAGACTGCCGGAGGCAGGACCAGTGAAGCTGACCGAGAGTCCCAAACGAGGCCCAGCCATGTCTGAACCTGAGCCAGAACAAATTGAACTTCTGCCAGCCCACAAGGAACCTGAATAGAACCCAAACCTTGGCCAGCAGACACGCAGACCAGCTGGGGAGCCCACACCAGCTACTTGTTGAGGTAGTCCAGGACTCAGAAACCAAGAAGACAAAGACTTGACTTTAAGTCAAAGTCAAAGTCAAAAGTCATTATGTAAAACATGAGGATCCAGAGTCCAAATGGGAGGACCCGATAACAGGACAATGTTGCCCCACGACAAAGTTAACTAGTCCTAGAACTTGGGACGTATTGGAGCATGCCAGGATGCATCCAGAAGGTCTAGGGAGGCAAGCAAGCCACTTACTCAACGATGAGATGGACCCAGAACAATGGGGTCATCTAAAAAAGGAGAGCAACTTCAAATCACTTGTGTTGTCCCGTCTCGAGTACTGCTCAGTACTCACTTCCCCCTTCAGAGCAGGAGAGATTGCTGAAATTGAGGGAATACAGAGAACATATACGGCATGCATAGACGCAATAAAGCACCTAAATTATTGGGATCGTCTCAAAGCTCTCCAAATGTACTCACTTGAAAGGAGACGAGAGAGATACCAAATAATATACACATGGAAAAACTGGAAGGCCAGGACCCTAATCTACACAGTAAAACAACAACCTACTGGAGTGAACGATATGGAAGAAAATGCAGAATAAAACCAGTGAAGAGCAGAGGTGCCATAGGTACAATCAGAGAACACTGTATAAACATCAGAGGTCTGTGACTGTTCAACGTCCTCCCAGCGATTATAAGAAATATTGCCGGAACAACCGTGGACATCTTCAAGAGAAAACTAGACTGTTTTCTAAAAGACGTTCCGGACCAACCGGGCTGTGGTGGGTATGTGGGCCTGTGGGCCGCTCCAAGCAACAGCCTGGTGGACCAAACTCTCACAAGTCAAGCCTGACCTCGGGCCGGGCTTGGGGAGTAGAAGAACTCCCAGAACCCCATCAACCAGGTATCAACCAGGTAAGGAAGCTACCAGTTCAATCCGGACAGAGCAAGGAAGAACTGGAGACCTGGAGAACCCAATTTGTCTCCAGAAAAAGGTGGAACCAATCAAAGGGAAGTGGGTGATATAATCACCCCAGAACACCCACTCCAAGATGACCCAATGAAGACAAGAGGAGGAGGTCCACTTGGAAAACTCAATCACCCAAAAAAGGAGGGACTATCCAATATCACTGCAGGCTGCACAAAGTGATCTGAAAAACTTAAGAAATGTGGGACCAGGCACTAGAAAAACTGAGCGAGACGCCCCACGTACTCTGAGAGTTAATCTGAAAGCATCTTCAGAAGGCTCAAGAAGTGCATGACACTGTGGGAAAATCTAACTCAGACTAATACTAATAAATTTCAATAATATCGAAGGACCACCCTTTAGAAAAAAAGGGAAATAATATAAGGAAATAAATTGAAATTAAATTAGAGAATCAGTGCCTATGGGTCTCTTGATTATTTACTCATGAAAATATTAAAGCAATAAATGAACTATAGAATAAAATGAAATATTGAGCAGACTCACACCACAAACTTTGGGGGGTTGATTAGTACAGAGAAACTAATGTGTTTCTAGCACAAATAATGAGATGTTAATGCATACCCATAATAAACTAATAAGATACTAATGCGCATCAATAATAATCTAATGAGATACTAATGCGTATCAATAATAAATCACATGGTAAAGAATTTATATGGAATATTAGATCTTATATTGAAGATCATCAAATAAATGATAATTAATGTTCTACTACACTACAAGAACGAAATAACAGCTTAGTTGTATGATGAAATAGTAGCCTGCATCTGGCAATCATCACTGAAACTTCTTGCCTCAGGATATCTTAAGAGCACGTGACCGAAGCAGAGGCTTATCTCCTTTCTTGCCAATTAAACATGGGCTGAAATACGAGTACCATGTAAATACTATCTAAAAAGATAGTCTACCACACATATTTCTGAATGAAATGTGAAAGCGGCCTGAAATAAACTCGCTTGTTAATTTTTAGTTGTCATGTAGCATGACGACAAACGTCCTACCTGATATTTAGTTGTGATCACAAACAATAACAGTAAATAGGAACTTAACGTTTGCCGATACTAGTGTCTGAGAAAAGATGAAGCTGTTCCGAAACTCTGACATCTGCAGTAGGAAGGATGACGTTATTTTGAGCCGGTAAATATTGCAAGCTTTCAGACACTATCTCTAGCCGAGGACAATGGGTGCTTTTTCTCTCCTTACCCGTCTCGCTTGCACATGCGCAATAGCATGGTGTGTTGGAACAGAGGAAATAACTCCTATAATTTGCCCAACTATGCGAGATATTAAGGACAAGGCTTATCATAAGACAGCTAATATTAATTAAACTCTTGCTATGTGACAATTAATATGAAACAAAGTTCACATAGACAAAAAGGTTATAGGGGAAATTCTTTCCTCCATGAATCTCTGTGATAACAGTTTGTAACTGTATAAAATGATCTCAGCAAATCAACCATGATGTCAACCTTCCCCTATATTGCTTGATCAATGGTGAATATATAGTATTATCAGCTAATAATTCTTGTTAAAGAATGCTGAAATAAGGGAGAATTTAGCACAATACTCTTAAATGTAGATTCATATTCTTCAGTCGAGCTGGCTGGTGCAACACGCCATAGATTCTAGGAAACTTTTGACATGCATACTACGTAGTATGATATGGATTTATGTTATTACTCTACTGATTAGTGGTATTAGTAAAATAATGGTTAGTACAAGAATTGCTTCTTAAAGTACTAAATGTTGGGAATTAAGTGTTAGATGATTATGATGCCTAGTACAGGAAATACATCCTATTGTACTTGAGAGTAATAATTAAATGTTGGAAATTTCCAACAGATGGTTCCCAGTTGCAACAAGTTCAAAGGTCTACTGCAATCACCATAGCTGACCACTAAGGAACAAAAACTTGAATCTGCAACATCTTAATGTCCTTCAGGAGAGTAGTTCAAACAGGCAGACATGGAGATGCGCAAAAAAGACGTCCTCTCAGAAACCTGTAACACGGAGGAAGCCTCACAGCACACAACCTAGTGGGAGTGACAAAGTCCACGCCCAGCTCACAGAGAAAACAAAGGGGTGTTTGCCATCCAGGATGACTCCAGAACTTCACAACATGGCCAAACCATGACCGAGGCCAAATCCAGGTCACACATGGGGCAGCTCTGGGGTATCCAACTGAGCACACAACCCAGACCACCGTAAAACAGAAAACCTCAAGCATAAAATAGTCACTGCCCAAAAACCCTGAACATTATCACAAGTGTCTGATAGGTGAGCAACATGCAGAGAACAAGTCCCCACATGACTCAGCATTGAAGGTGTCACCAACCTAGGCAGCATGGCAGAGGCAGAGAGGTATGAGCTTCACCTTAAGTAAAATAACAACGTACTGGAGTGAACGATATGGAAGAAAATGTAAACGTAAAATAACAATTGAGCTTCACCCTTGAGTAAAATAACAATGTACTGGAGTGAACGATATGGAAGAAAATGTAGAATAGAACCAGTGAAGAGCAGAGGTGCCATAGGCACAATCAGAGAACACTGTATAAACATCAGAGGTCTGCAGTTGTTCAACGTCCTCCCAGCAAGCATAAGAAATATTGCCGGAACAACCGTGGACATTTTCAAGAGGAAACTAGATTTATTCCTCCAAGGAGTGCCGGACCAACCGGGCTGTGGTGGGTATGTGGGCCTGCGGGCCGCTCCAAGCAACAGCCTGGTGGACCAAACTCTCACAAGTCAAGCCTGGCCTCGGGCCGGGCTTGGGGAGTAGAAGAACTCCCAGAACCCCATCAACCAGGTATCAACCAGGTACCTTGTGGCACAGACAATGCACAACCCTAGAACTAGCTCAGGTCGAGTGCGGGCTTAGCGGGAATATCCAGTGGACCACAGAACCTGCAGAGGTTTTCCAAGGTCTGCAGGGAATGGCCCTGCAGGAATCCCAGGCACTGGGATTGATATGCTGGAATGCCGATTAGGAAACAGGCCCTCCTGTTTTTGTTTTGTTTTTCCTCCTCCAAAGAAGGGAAGTCTTCTTTTGGAATGAAAGAAGAAGGGTAGAGTCTGATAGACCCAATAATGGGTATACGTAGACCAACTCAGCTCACCTGAGGCTGAGAAGGCCAATCTCAGCTCGGTTGGGTCGCGCAACCCTCAGTGCACCCTGCCAACCAAAACTTGTTTACGACCCCAGGGAAGACAGAAAGCCAAAGAACAAATGGACTTACCCAGGGAGAAGACTACTACAGTGAGGAAGCTATCTAAAGGAGCAAACCCCGAACACTGCAGGGAAGAAGTTCTTGGAAGTGCAAAGGCAGCAGGAAACCATGTGCATATGCAGCCCCAAGCATCCTAAATGCCTAGGTTGCGCAGCAACCAGAAAGGCAAGGACCACCACTTAGCTGATGCAGAACATGGGAGCCAGAGCAAAAGAGAGGGCACCACACACTGTCTACTAGTATGAGCAAGAACTAAGGGTGGGGTAGCCTGCTGATCTGGTCTGCCTCCCTCCTTTCCCGAAATAAGGGGCAGAGGGGGGGGGGGGCAAATGATCTTGCATTAGTTTCATAACTTTTTGATTGTTTACATTGTTGGAGGAGTTCTTTTGGGAAGTTTGAGGCATCGATATTTCCTTACAACCAGCAGTGGTCTGTTTTGTCTCAATAATGCCTAAAAGGACTCTGACTGATGGTACTTAGTAGTTTAGCACTGTATCAGCATAGTAGCTTCAGGAAGCCATAAAGTGCTCCCCTCAGAAATTACCAACTATAACATCTGTGTTCCTACTCTCTTATGTGAGATGGAAAAGCATCATAATCTATTTTTCCGTAGGGTGGCAGAATTGGAGAGTAGTGTTAGGGAAATGCGACGGCAGCAGGAGGAACTTCAGACATGTCTTAGAGAAGAGACACAACGAAAGGAAGAATTAGAGCAGCAGATTATCATAGACCAACGGCGTATTAGGGATTTTCAGATTCATATGAAGGTAAGAAAAGTTTACACTAAACAATTTTTTAATTTTTATTACATAATACTGTCTCCACTCGATCATCCGGACTATATGGGAAGGACCCCCAGCCGGATTATCACATTTTTCGGATAATGGTACTTTTTCACCTACGAGTCCAAAAGTGACCATTTCCAACTATTTTTATACTACAAACAACATAATTTGAATTGCCTTGCCACATACAATTATTAAATATTCAACTAGAAACCTCAACTTACCTTGTTGGTGTTCGTCTTCTTGATTGATGCCACACATCTTGAAGTTAAAAATTCTTAACAATTTACGTAACCTATACTAACACAACACTAAAATTAACACTTAAAATTACTGTACAGTTCATTAAGCTAAGTTAGTTTTGACTGCCAGCTGCTGAAGCCTCACTGGTTGAGGGCATTTGGGTTGCCTGTGAGGCCTCACTTGTTGAAGCGCTTGCATGCCCTCACTTGTTGAAGGCGCTTGGCTTGCCTGTGACGCCTCACTTGTTAAAGGCGCTTGCTTGCGCCTCACTTGTTGAAAGCGCTTGGCTTGCCTGTGGCGCCTCACTTGTTGAAAGCGCTTGGCTTGCCTATAATGCCTCACTTGTTGAAGGAGCTTGGCTTGCCTGTGGCGCCTCACTTGTTGAAGGCGCTTGGCTGCCTGTGACGCCTCACTGTTTGAACAACACGTAACTTGTCTTTAATTGCTAGGACAATCTTCTTCCTCTTAACACTTCCAGAACGATTGATGCTGCTACCAGACATATTCTTGGCCAAAAATGTTCAAAATTACTATGAAAATTAAGAAAGTTATTTAAAAAAATATTTCACTAATGGCGCAACACTGTGAGGCCGCACTGGTTGAGGCGTATAACTGTGACTTGTCTTTAATTGTTAGGACAACTTTCTTCCTCTTAACACCTCCAGAACGATTGATGCTGCTACCAGAAATAGTCTTGGCCAAAAATGTTCAAAGTTACTATGAAAATAAAAAAGTTATTTAAAAAAATATTTCACTAATGGCGCAGCACTGTGTATAACACGAGGGACGGACGCACATGGGTTGACCAGTGTTGGACAGGTCCACTTGGGGCAGCCATAGCGTTACGTAGGCTGCCAGGAGGAAAAAAATTCACAATATTTTTGAAGGAAACTTCAGCCTGTGCACAATGCTTTTAGGAAACTTATTTATTTGTTATTACATAATTACTAGTAGTTATTTTATTTGTTTTTGGCTATGATTAATTGTTCTAAAATTAATGGTAATTCCTGTACCCAGGTAGTCCCTCCTGACGCACCCCTCCCACCCTCCCAACACCACCCACCCACCCCATCCCCACCTACACCATGCGCCTCGAGTCTCGGGCAGACGGGATTAATACCGTATGGCCTGCCTCATGTTTTCATATACGGACAAAGGCACGATTATCTGGGGGACTGACCGGATAGTGTAATTTCTGCAGAAAACCTGCTTTAATCTGGTCCCTGTGGCTATTTTGGCCGGATATTGTGATAACTTTATCCGTTCACGATTTTGGCCGTATAAGGGCGTTTTTCGGATGTTCGAATCCCGGATAATCGCGGGGTTACAGTACTAAGGTTCATCCACAAGAAAAAAAATCAGTCTAGAATGTAATGAAATGTATGTACCTTTCTGTGAGAACCCCTTGTGACTCCCTGAAGCTAGCTCCCTAAGATGACTCCCAACTGCTAGGTAACATCAGCTGTGGAGTTGTGTGTGGCCTGGTGGGGGCCAGAGTCTGAACCTGACCACTCACAAAGGTACAGAGAACAGGTGATACTGTCACCCCACTGAGAAAGCATTCAGAAAGCCAGTGAACCAATACAGACCACTGATGGGTTCAGAGATCAAAGCCCCAAAACTACCAAATGAATTCCCCTAAACACTGTAAACAAATGATCAATTTCTTAAAAAAAATAATGTGATCTTGTTAGCACTAACCCCACCCACCCACCATGGATGGGGGGGCTTGAAGCTCCAGGTCTCCTCCATCTCTCCAAACCAATTCATGAGCAGATGTGATGACACACCCACCGATGAACCTGAAAGAGAGGGAGGGAATTAGGGAGCCACTGGGGCTCATTGAGAAAGAGACGTTTCATTACATTCGATGTTGGTTTTCTGGGGAAACTCCTTGTGGCACCCTTTTTGCATCACCCTGAAGGGTAAGGTCTCCTCCTACCCATGGAGGAAAACCAGGGGCTTACCAGGGAGAAGAGACTGCAGGTAATCGAGATGAAGAAGACCGTAGGTCGTGAAAGATGACCCAAAGCAACACATGTACGATGGGGCCCAGGAACATAGCTAAATACCGAGCTGCCAAGACACTGTTAGACTACCAAAAGCCCATGCCTGTATATCAGCCCAGGACATGTTAGGAGAGCAGCATATTTATGAGGATAGACCTTCAGGCTGACTGGAATTAATGACACTGCAGATGACCTGAGAAACACAAGGATTGGAAGAGGGAATTTAGGAAACATGATCAACCCACAAAGCATCCACCAAAGTAGAATTGGTGGCATTAAGGTAGGGCAAAGAGCCACCACCAAGTGTAGTGGCATGCACTTGGTGGTGGCTCTTTGATGCACCCCTGGTCAAACCAACCAAGCATCAATAACCAAAAAACTTCATCAGAAGCCCACCAATTCTTTCTTCACCAGAAAGGTGAAGAAAAGGAAAAGGAGGAGATGGCTGCAAATGAACATAACGCCCACCAGGGTCAAAAAGAACAAAATTTACACCTTCTTAGGTGTAGCTTCATGCTTCTTCGTGGGAGCATGAAGCTCCCCAACCCTACAGCCAGAGGGAAGCGTCAACAGGAAAACCTCCTGAGAAAAGGAATCACAGACCGAATGGGAACTGTAAAGGATCAGTAATGCTTATTGATGCTTTAATGATGCAAAACCAGGAAAACATCAATAATGCCTTGAAACAGCACCAAGATATTATCCACAAACAGTAGCAGCTCTGCTAGCGCTAAAAAATAAGAGGCGACAGTATTAAGTATAAGATGTCAGTTGAGAAACAACCAAAAAAGGAACGAAAGCACTACCCAAATGGAGACAAGAACGACAATGAAGGGAAGAGAAATGTCGAAAAGAGTGCCAAGCAACCTTGTACTGCTGCCTGGAAGATGAATGCAGGTGGGACACCATCAAATCAGCCACCTACATGCCATATAAATGGCAATAAAAATGCATCAGAAAGACCAAATATGAAGAGCTGAGAAGTTTGAACCAGTGAGGTACGTCACCAGACCGATCTTCTGAGAGGGGCTTTATCTCTGGGTTGGAGCTTAGTGACCAGTGCTCAAATGGCTTCTAGAGAGATTCTTCGGTTGTGGATGGTTGATTGGTTAGGCTAGGGTTGCATCATGTTCTGCATCCAATGGCTGATCTCCACCGCTACCTTTGTGTCACTGATTCGTGTCATCTTTGGTAGACGACATAAAAATCAGCATGAAAATTACTTATGTAAAAGACGTTGAAAAGCTACAAGCTGGTATTAATAAATTTTCAATTGGGCAGCAGGAAATATCATGATGTTAAACAATGATAAATTCCATGTACTTAGGTATGGTAAAAAACAAAATATGGGGTTCAAAACACAATCAAGTCTGCCCATAGTAGTAAAGCAACATGTAAAGGATTTGGGAATAATGATGTCTGACAACTTAATATTTAGGGAGCATAACCAAGCAAATATGGCATTGCGTAGAAAATTATAAGATGGAATACAAGAACCTTTAATTCCAGGGATCCCATCACACTGCTCATACTATTTAAAGCACTGGTGCTGTCCCGTCTTGAGTACTGCTCAGTACTCACTTTCCCCTTCAGAGAAGGAGAGATTGCTGAAATAGAGGGAGAACAGAGAACATGTACAGCACTCATAGACACGATAAAGTACCTAAATTATTGGGACCGCCTCGAAGCTCTCAAAATGTTCTCTCTAGAAGAGAGGCGAGAGAGGTTCAATTAATATATACATGGAAAAAATACTGGAGAGCCAGGTCCCAAATTTACACATTAAAATAACCACATACTGGAGTGGACGATATGGAAGGAACTGCAAAATAGTCAGTGAAAAGCAGGGGTGCCATAGGCACAATCAGAGAACACTGTAGGAACATCAAAGGTCCATGGTTGTTCAATATCCTTCCAGCTAGTATAAGAAATATTGTTGGAACAAAAGTGGAAGTCTTCCAGAAAAAAATGGACACTTTTCTGCAAGAAGTGCCAGACCAACCAGGTTGTAGTGGATAAGTGGATCTGCGGGCCGCTCCAAGCAACGCAGATCTGTTGGTCTTATCTGTTGGACCAAGCTCTCTCAACTCGAGCCTGACCCAGGGCCAGACTTTGGGAATACTGTAGTTGAAATCCCAGAACCTCATCTACGTACAATCCAGTTAAAGGTGGATTATAGGTTATAGGCTGATCCTATTTCCTTGCTCTCCTGTTCCAAGGCTCATATATCTCAGATTGTCCGCAGTGTTAAAAGTCTAGCCAGCCTGCAGTCTTTCCCAGGGACATGATGTTCATGTGTATGAACATATGAATGAACTACTCTTGCGGTAGTTTTTGCTAACCTGTCCTGGGCTGATTTTGGGGATTTTGATAGTCTAGAAGGGTTCTGGTGAGCCAGTAATTCGTTAATGATAATGGGCCTTGTCGGGCTGTGTTGCCTTAGGTTGTGTCTCTTAACCTAGAATCTCGCCTTTGCTATGACAATCTGCGGTTTCTCCTCCTCCCTAGCAAGTCCCTGTTTCTGGGGGGAAGCCCCTACGGCTCTCCGGAGCTATCCATGGCTGATATGGATACCCTAACTATTTTGCATCAGTCGATGTGGGTGGAGTTCTAGGTCTACTGGGGACCATGAACCAGAACCTGGCCCCCCCTCACAGAGGCACAAGGAGCACTGGCCCATAGAAATGCACATGTGATTTGGAGCATTCTATATCTGCCATCGACCGGCAC